AAAAAAAAAAAAACTACTATATTCTAGCTGTGAAGCTAGACTAGGGGTTGGTAAACTTTTTCTTAAATGGCAAGATAGTGAATATTTTAAGCTGACAAGCCACCTGGTCCTTGATACAACTACTGAACTCTGCCACTGTAGCATAAAAGCAGCCTTGGATAACACGTAGATGAACAGCCAGGGCTGTGCTCCAATAAAACTTTACTTAGGAAAAAAACAGGCAGTGTAGCTTGTCAATTACTGAGCCAGACAGCGCCGATACAAAGATGAATACGAATTTTTCCCTTATTTTCTGAGCATAGGACAGGAAGAAATTTCAAATGGCAGAGACTTTATTTTTTAGAGCAGTCCCAGGCTTACAGTCAAGTTGAGAGAGCTGACAGAGATTTCTCATACACTCTCTGTCCACACGTGAGCATGATCCCCACCATTATCAACAACACCCACCAGAGTGGTTTGTGTTTGCTCTTACCAAGGATGAAGCTACACCCACACATCATGATCGCCCAAAGTCCACAGTTTACCTGAGGGCTCGCTCTTGACGTGGTCCTTTCTACAGGTTTGGACAGATGGATGATGACACCTACCCATCATTATGGTATCATACAGAGCACTGTCACTGTCCCCAAAATCCTCTGTGCCCTGCCTGTTCTTCTCGCCTCTCCCGTAACAACCACTAGTATTTTTACTGTCCTCATAGTTTACTGCCTTTTCCTGAATATCATGTTGCTGGGATCGCATAGTATGTAGCCTTTTCAGATTGGTTTTTTTTTTTTTTACTTAGTAATGTGCATTTCATGTCCCTCCATGTCTTTTTGTGCCTCGTTAGCTCATTTTGTTTTTAGCACTGAATCCCATCCCATTATCTGGATGTCCCAGTTTATGCATTCACCCACTGAGGGACACCTTGGTTGTTCCCAAGTTTTGGTAATGATGAATAAAGCTGTGATGCACGTCGTGTACAGGTTTCGTTGTGGACAGAAGTTTTCAGCTCCTCTGGATAAATACCAAGAAGCATGGCTGCTGGATCAAACGAAACAGCATGTTTAGTTCTATGAGAAACAATCACACTGTCTTCCAACGTGGCTGTACCATTTTGCATTCCCAGCAATTGTTAGGGTTCCCGTGGCTCCACATACCTGCCAGCATTTGCTGTGGTCCGTGTTCTGTAGCAGTCTCTTGTTGCTTAATATGTATTTTCCCGATGACACAGAAGTGGAACACCTTTTTATGTATTTACTTGCCACCTATATACCTTCTTCAGTGAGGCGTCTGTTAAGGTCTCTGACCCATTTTTTTTTTGAGCTGTTTTCTTATCGTTGAGTTTTAAAAGTTCTTTATGTATTTTAAACAACGGTCTTTTCTCAGATAGGTCTTTTGCAAATATTTAATCCCAATCTGTGGCTTGTTTTCTAATTCTCTTCGACAGTGTCTTTTACAGAGCAGAAGTTTTTCATTTTAATAAAGTCCACCTTATCAACTATTTCTTTCACAAACTGTGTCTCTGGTGTTGTATCTGAAAAGGCGTCACCACTTCTGGTCCAACATCTCAGCAAGGCCCGCAGGGGTGCCCGCTGCTCTCTGAGCTTTGCAATGCCACCCAAGGACGACGAGAAGAAGAAAGATGCCAAAAAGTTGGCCAAAAAAGACAAAGACCCAGTGAACAAATCTGGGGGCAAGGCCAAAAAGAAGTGTCCAAAGGCAAAGTTTGGGACAAGCTCCATAACCCGGTCTTGTTTGACAAAGCAACTCATGACAAACTCTGGAAGGCCGTTCCTAACCATAAGCTCAGACTCTAGCTGTTGTCTGTCCCGAGACACCGGGGATTTGAGGTTTTCTGGCCAAGGCAGCCCCTCAGGAGCTCCTTAGCGAAGGATTTATCAAACTGGTTTCAAAGTACAGAGCTCAAGCTATTTACACCAGGAACACCAAGGACGGAGATGCCCCAGCCGCTGGTGAAGACGCATGAATAGATCCCACCAAATGTACGTTTTAGACAATAAAAACTTATTAAATCAAAATTGAAGTAAAAAGGCATCACCGTACCCCAGCAAGGTCATCTGGGTTTTGTCCTACGTGATCACCTAAGAGTTTTATAGTTTGGGGTTTTACTGGTAGGTCTATGATCCACCCGAGTCAGTTTTTGTGAAGGGTGTAAAGTGTGTGCCTAGATTCCCTTTTTTTCCACACGTGGATGCCCAGCTGTCTCAGTACCATCTGTGGAAGAGGTTACTTCTGCTCCACTGGACTGCCTACACTCCTTTGTCAGAGGTAAGAGGACTACACTCACACAGGTCTACTTTTGGGCTCTCTGGTCTAGCCCACTGATCCGTCTGTCTGTTGTTTTGCCAGTACTACACCATCTTCATCACTGTAAGTCTTGAAATCGGGTAGCGTCAGTCCTCCAGCTTCGTTCTTGCCCTTCGACACCGTGTTGACTATTATGGGTCTCCTGCCTCTCTGTATAAACTTTAGAAAGGGTTTGTCACTATCCATAGAATAACTTGCTGGGATGTTGATTAGAACTGCACCAAATCAGCAGATCCAGTTGGGAAGAAGTGACATCTCCGCGGCAGTGAGTCTTTCTATGCCCTTCACATTTTAAATCAGATAAAGAGTGGCTTCGGCATGACCTCAGCACCCAGCACCCTTATGTTACCTCCCTCCACGCTCCTCCAGGTACCCACCAACTTGTCACGTTATAGTCTCTCTCTTCCCGCCTCACCTCCTCTTCCCCGCCACCTGCCGGTAATCTAGTGTTCTCTGTTTTGTGAAGATCAGCCCAAGGACAGGGAAGCAAAGGGACCATCTACCCACTCCAAGTCCTTTACCAATATATTTACCTGTCCACCAACCACCACAGGATTCATTCATCTGATACATTCTCCTCTTCTTCACGCCTTTCGATTCGTTAACCAACCCAAACAAGATTTAGTAGGAGGCACTCACACCTCCACCATCTCCATTTGCCTACTTTTTCCCTTCTTTCCCCTCCTTCCCCCACCTTTTTGGGCTCACAGCCCAAAAAGCATGTCTCTCTAGGCTTCCTTTCAACGCTCCCTCACAACACTAAAACAAAATTTTGTACTCATGATGCAAAGGCCTTGAGGATGAGTAAGCTATTTCTCTGTGTTCCCTTGAAGGAATTCCTTCAGGCTAGGAATGAAAGCAAATGGCGTATGATGTAAACTATCCAGTAACGATACTTTCAAATTTGTACCGAAAAGGTGAGCTCTGATGGGGAAATCCCAAAACATTCAACTGGCTGAACCGAAGAGGTGCCAGAGAAACTGGGGATGACCCTAACGTCAGAGAAGAGCTGGGATGCTATAAGGGCCATCTGCTTGCACAGGGTCAGGGGGCCTCAAAACCCACACAGGCTTCTGCCAAGTAAATAGCCCGTATCTCCTCAGAATCTGGGATGTACAAAGGGACAGGGGATACTGAAGCTGACAAGAAACAGAAAATCGAAGTATTTCCCCTTGTGCTGAAATGCTAAAACTAATTTCCAGCTTTACTCTAACCATGGCCAAGTATTAGCTTTGGATTAAGGCATTATCAACTGCAGTTCTCAATAAAGCCAACTGCTTCAGTCTCCTCCAAACATCAAGGACCAGTGGGTGAATTATCTACAGACACGGACTTTTCAAGCAATCCAGGGCTCTGGGCAGAAAATCCAAATCAGGAATTTCAGTAAATGCCCCATTTGCAGGAGGCACCACCTGGTCGTTCTGACAACTCCAACCCCTGTTGATCAACTGCTTCTTATTTAAAAAACAAAACAAAACAAAAACTACCACTATGTATCTGTTATTGGTGAATAAAGGACAGGAATTTGAAAAGCGAGGGAAACAGGAAGTAGAGAGTAACAAAGTTGCCCAATTCTCTTGTGGCAGGATTCTTGAACAAGGGAAGGTCATCTCTCATGCATTTCTAAAAACTGAATCTACCCCCAAGACACTTATCAATGAAATTAATTTCAGAATACAGTTACAAAAATGAGTTTTCGTTGAAAAAGTAAGATAATGCTTTCCACCCACCACCAGGAAAGCAAAAAGTCATTTATTTTCCTAGTGATCCTCTGTCTCCTCCCTTTTAAACTGATGATCACTCAGCAAAGGGGGATGGTATAGCCACAGAAATATAGTTCACGCAGGCCAACTGGGTAGGGGTTTTGTGACGTGACTAAGTTTGTGACGAAGGGCTAGAAGGAAGCTAAGTGGTGCACGTGAGCACTGAATCTCTGAAGTCTGGTTTTCCTTAGGATGGGCCCCAACAGCAAGCGTTATAGCAAATGTTCACAGTGACGAAGGGATCACTATGAAAAAAGAAAACTGGTTCATGACAGTGGGAGTCAAAAACCCTGAGTTCACAGTGAGAACTCCCACTCAGATCTGTATGCGAAACCATTCAAAATTTTTAGTACATGTTAACTTATACATGAAAAATGGTGGAAAATATTTACCAATAGAGGATTTGCTAGTAAACCTGGGTTTATGTCTCAGCTGCTCTGTAGGGACCTTGGCCAATTTATCAAACTTCTTTAAAACTTGATCATCTCTATAATATGGTAAGCTACCCCCCACCCCCCACATCAGGACTGTTACATTAGGGAACAGAATGCCTCAGAAGGAGCTTAAACTCCTTGGAAGACGATAAAAAACTCAAGACGGCGGGCAATGGATTCCTAGGCCATTCACACATTCCCACAAGAGACACCTGGCGGCAGCCAATGCGTCAAGTCTCAAACTCCTCAGAGACACAAAGGAGCCAGACTCACCTTACAAACTGATCTCGTCCACCCACTGCAAACTGGTGGGTATTGGCAGGATTCACATAGATCGTATAGAGCCCCACTTTCTTCTCCTTCTCTTTTGTCACCACCAGTTTCCTTTAAGAGTAGAAAAGTAGAAAAGTTATATTCTCGAAAATACCCAGATGGTCATGGCAAGAGAGAGCAGAGAGTAATGCGGACAAAGCTACGAAGAAACCAGATTCTGATTGAGAAAGAAAGAAAAAAGTGGTCTTGGGGCACCAGGAGGCTCAGTCGGTTAAGCATTTGACTCTTGATTTCTGCTCAGGTTATGATCTCACGATTCATGAGTTCAAGTCCGGTGATAGGCGCTGAGCTGACAGCGACGAGCCTGCTTGGGATTCTTTCTTTCTCTCTCTTTCTCTCTCTCTCTCTCTCTCTCTCCCCCCCCACCCCCCCTCCCCCGCCCCCACTCACATGTTTGTGCATGTTCTCTCCAAATAAATAAATAAATAAATAAATAAAAACTTAGAAACGGAAAAAGTGGTTTTGTTAGTTTTGAACACTGGAACAAGAACAAGACAAAATCACTTCCACGTATATTTAATAAATGCTACTTTGAGGAATGGAAAAACAAATGCGTAGTGAAGTCATTTTCCGGTGTTCCCCAAGACATGTAAGGTACACGTACGCAAAAGTACTGCTCCCCAGGTGGTGTCAGTTTAGCTGGAGCCCAACATGACGACCCTGCCCACACCTTCCCGTCCTAGATAAAAACACCCTCCCAATCATCTGGGAGCAGTCAGCAAGAGGACCAATCATGAAAACAGTGGCCAGAAGGGACCTTAGGGTTAAATCTGTCTCCCGGATTCCACAGAAGTGTCACAACCCAGCTCTAAACATGCACACTGAAGACTGACAAGCCACAGTTTCCTGGCACAGGGACAGCCCGGAGGAAACCAGCATTCTTCCTTTACCCGAAGTGAGCTAGGAGAGGAGATTCCTAAGAAGACAGCTGTCTACAAGGCTGGCTAATCCTCTCTAAATTACTCCTCTGATTGTACCACAAAAGGCAGTCCTTAGGAGGGTACTGGGGTCCTGAGGAAACTCTCTAAAATTCTGAAGTTGTAGCCAGAAGGCTCGGACTAAATAATTCTATTCTGTCCCAGCTTAAAGGTGGCACTACGGCTTCCCAGGTCTAAGTGTCCAGCCAGTCAAATGTGACATCACAGAGATTAGTAAATTTACAGGAAATGAAAGACTGGGAAGGAAAGGGCTGGGTTCTAGCTTTCGTTTTTAATTCTAGAGTTTTGCTCATCTTGTTGCTATGGAAACTGAAAGAAATATAACCATGACAACGAGTTTCTTGGTAAAGAAATGATTTTAGCATCCTCTCTGCCTGGTCAAAGTCACTCCAGCCTAGAAATGCGCTACGCAAAGTGGAGAGATTTTACTTGATTTTAAAATCTCTGTAACCTTTCATTAAAACAGTAGATGGAAATCGTGAAAAATGAATGTCATTAGGAAATACACACACATACACAACCTCAAAAACACAAGGTAGAAAACACTCCAAAAAGAGTTTAAGGAATAAAACCAGCAGTGGAGAAGAGACAGCTCTAATCATTTGTTTTTGTTTTTTTGAAAGAGAGCACGCAAGTGGACGGGGGCGGGGAGGAGAAGGAATCCCAAGCAGGCTATGCACTGTCAGCTCAGAGCCCATCACAGGGTTCAAACTCATGAAGCAAGAGATCATGACCTGAGCCAAGATCAAGAGCTGGACGCTTAACCGACCGAGCCACCCGGGTGCCCCGTCTAATCGGGCTGTAGACAGAACGAGCAGATGCTGCTTTTCACAGAACCATTCCATTTCCTCAGCAGTTTGGACCTTCAGAAGGAGAGGGTCAGACAAATATAAAGGTGACCACGTGGAAGCAAAAGGAAGAAACCTGGGGACACGTGGGTGGCTCAGTTGGTTAAGCTTTCGACTTTTGACTTCACTTCATGTCCTGATCTCACAGCTTGGGAGTTTGAACCCCACATGGGGCTCTCTGGGTGCGAGCTGGAGTCTCTCTCTGCCTCTCTCTCTGTCTCTCCCCACCTCAAAATAAATAAACTTAAAAAAAAAAAAAAGAGGGACAGATTATGAAATAGGGCTTCACTGTCCTGTAATCCTGACAGAACTCAATCTTTCTAATGCTTCACTTTATTCACCTGAAACAAAGAATTCTCTCTCCCGGTGGATAAATGCAGAGTACCTTGGGCCCTCTGGGGAACTGGCAGATGTGCTATAAAAATGATTAATCTTGTACCCAGCTGGCTCAGTCGAAAGAGCATGCAACTCTTGATTTTGGGGTCGTGAGTTCGAGTCTCATGTTGGGTGTAGAGATTACTTAAATAAAAACTTAAAAAAAAATTGTTTCAATGATTAATCGCGATGGCAGCAGGGGGAAAAATGTTTTTCACATTAGGAGGAGGCAGCACACAAAAACACAGGAAACAAATTTACTAAGTTTCGCTATAAAATTTGCAGTTTTTTAATAAGCAGGTATGTTCCAGCAAAAAAATAAAAAAAAAAAAAGGAAAATAATTACAAGTCAAACCAAAGAATTCCTGTGAAGAAGATTTCAAACTGGCTGCCACTGGCTAAACGAATATCCCATCCACAGCTCCAAAGCCAACTCTTTTCCTAAGAGGTCAGCCAATACCACCAGCTTCCAGAGACGCAGCTAGCATAAATACGGAAAAGTTCCCCTTACGCCGGCTTCACACAAAAACGTCTCTGATGTAAGTGGATGTTCGCACACCAGCTTAAACTTAAGAATAGCTTCGATTTTCCAGCCATTCAGCTCCCCACCTCAGTCAAGCTTTCCGCTACTATTTCAATCCTTAAAGCAAAAACTTTTTGAAAACTCACAGTCCCTGATTCCCCAAATCCAGAATCTGGGCCTGCTCCTACATGAAGTTTCTCCTACATTCCCCATCTATCACTGCTCACACCAGAGCCACCGTGTACATCATTTCATTCCAAATCCAGTAAGCTAACACACTCATCTGTTCTGCCCAGTACTGGGCTCCCAACTCCTTGTGGCCTCACAGTGGTTTTCCTAGGACCTGACGCACAGGATAAGCTCTCTCCCACCTGCCTCACAGCTCTCTACCAGAACAGACCGAACAAACTCAGCCCATTTGCTTCACCTCTGCGTTTCTCCCCCTGCCCCTACTCTGGAACTTTAAAATGAAAACCACAAACATGCAGATCAAGAAATTAATTTATTTCCTCACAACTAAACAGCTGCAAGCTAGTCTAGAAGGTAGATCTGTTGTCACCCAGGCCTGTTCACCTTCCAGTAAAACCCATAATCTCCCAATCTTCATTCTCTTGAAGGTTTATAGAAGTACAGTACATCCTTTCTACAAGCCTAAAACATTTTTTAAATTCTTCCACTTTCTAGACAACCTTTTCTATAGTGAACTTTCTAAAAATAAAAGTCTGGAGTGCCTGGCTGGCTCAGTCGGGAGAGCATATGACTTGATCTTGGGGTCGGGAGTTCAAGCTCCATGGTGGGCATAGAGCTTACTTAAAAAGATAAATAAAAAGAAAGAAAAAATAAAATAAAAAGAAGTCTAATAATAATCAGCCTTAAGATTATATTCCCTAGGGGGGGGGCGCCTGGGTGGCGCAGTCGGTTAAGCGTCCGGCTTCAGCCAGGTCACGATCTCGCGGACCGTGAGTTCGAGCCCCGCGTCAGGCTCTGGGCTGATGGCTCAGAGCCTGGAGTCTGTTTCCGATTCTGTGTCTCCCTCTCTCTCTGCCCCTCCCCTGTTCATGCTCTGTCTCTCTCTGTCCCAAAAATAAATAAAAACGTTGGAAGATTATATTCCCTAGGGGCACCTGGGTGGTTTAGTCTGTTAGATGTCTGACTCTTGGTTTCGGCTCAGGTCATGATCTCACATTCGTGAATTCGGCTCATGTGCTGACAGAGTTGGGCTCTGTGCTGACAGCGTGGAGACTGCTTGGGATTCTCTCTCTCCCTCTCTGCCCTTCCCCAGCTCTTGTGTGTGTGTGTGTGTGTGTGTGTGTGTGTGTGTGTGTGCGTGTGTGTCTGTGTGTGTGTGTGCGCGCGCGCACACTCTCTCAAAATAAACATTAAAAAAAAAAGTCCCATGTTCTACTGAGTGAGCCAGCCAAGCACCCCAAAATTTGTTATGATTTTTAAGACTAACAAGACAATAAAAAAATCTAGATAATCCATCAACAAGGTAGCAATTAAATAAACTGTATTACACCAAAGCTGTAAAGTAGACCTTTATGGTCTGATGTAGCAAGAACTCCAAAAACACATTATAACATGAAAAAAGCAAATTGCAGAATCCTACGTGTATGTACGTATATATATACATGGATGAAACATATATGTATGTATTAAGATACATAAAAGTATAAAAAAGGATTGGAAAGGTATTCCAAAATTTTTAACAACGGTTACCAATAGCTAGAAAAGTGGGGGTGGGGGAGATGTGCATGAAGAATCATATACATTTTGCCCACATACTTTATTATTTGAAATTTTTAAACAAGATGTACTTGTTTATTATAAGAACTAAAATTTTAACACAGTAAAATAATTAGCAGCCATAATATAATCAGTTCCAAACACAGTGCCAGACACTATGCTGGGGCTTCAAGCACCTTTATCAATAACCCTCAGAGACAAGAGAGTAAGATATACTGATTATGCCCAAAGTCAGACAGAAGAAACAGAGGTTCAGAAAAGTCAGATAGGTCGTAACTAGTAGTGCCTGAGTCGCAATCTGACCCAGGTCTGTCCAGATCCAAGCAAGATGCTATGTTCCTTCTATGAGATCACATAGCTGATAAGGGTTTAATCATTAATCACGAGTCTCAAATTCATGTATAAATGAGCTGTGGTAAGACAGAACTCTATTATAGCTACCAATATTTTTGTTCAAGATTTATCATTTGTTTACATGTTTCTATAAATAACTGAAAACTACATAGGACCGTATCTCTCAGCTGCCCTGCAGGGTGATGTGCTTCCTGTGGGTGAGCTGAGTGGCACCCAAGTGAACGGAGAGGAGATCAACAAGGTATTCAAGCTCACACGTAAGATGACTGAATCTCGTTCTGGAAATAAAAGTACACATGAACAGTGCTACACTGCTGAGAAACAGACAAACAACAACAAAGAAGTGAGGAATTGCCCTAAACCTCAATCTGCTTCTTAGCATAGGCACAGAGGGACTCTGGGGACTGACCGGAGAGGTGGGTATTACCTAGGACACGTAGGGTACTTTCAAGGCCAAGAGGTCCAGTGATGTAAAAATATCTATTGCTACACTTACGAAGCTGGCCGATCTTGTCTGAGGTCAATGGTGAAAACAACGGCGTCTTCACCTGCAGACAGGAACGTACAGGGAGAGTCCGGTTCCAGGGCCAACTGAAGGAGAAAAAAAGAAAGCATGAGATTTCTACAGATTAGAATCAGGGCCATCTAGTTTATTCCTTTATCTTTAGGAAGGACTGCATTTTATTTACTATTTACTTTTTAATATTTACTCTCGATAGAGACAGTGTGTGTGCGTGTGCACAAGTGGGGGGGGCAGAGAGAGAGAGGGAGACGGGGGATTGAAGTGGGCTCCATGCTGACAGCAGAGAGCCTGAAGGGGGGCTCTAACTCATGAACTGTGAGATCATGACCCTTGAGCCGAAGTCGGATGCTTAACTGACTGAGCCACCCAGGCACCCCGGGAAGGACTGCATTTTAAGTATCTCAAGAGGGCGCCTGGGTGGCTCAGTCGTTAAGCATCTGACTTGGGCTCAGGTCATGATCTCACAGTTCATGAGTTCTAGTTCCACATCTGGTGAGCTCAAGCCCTGCTTCGGGTGAGCATGAGCCCTGTTTTGGGTAAAACACAAGCCCCAGGTGAGCCCCAACTTCTCTCTTTCTCTTTCTCTGCCCCTCACTCATTTGTGCCCTCTGTCCCATAACTAACTAACTAACTAACACCTAAGCGAGAAACCTGCCTAGCTGTTTTGTTATAAAACCCCAGGAAAAGAACTAATAAACCCATTCTCTCTTGTTGTGTGTGAATTAGTTAGAGCTTGTTGATCCCATACAAGTCAAGAGGACAGGAGTTTTGCTTTTTCAACTAAGTCCTCAAGGGATCGGAGTAACAATACCAAAGAAAAACGTCAGCCATTAACGTTCATTCTCAGAATCAATTCCACTCTCGGGTGGGCAGAAAAATGGTGCCCAAGTGTCACTCTCTTACATCGTAGTTCTAAAAATTAGCTAACTAGCAGGTTTGGGGTAGGCTTAAGAATCAAAGAAATAGGGGGGCGCCTGGGTGGCGCAGTCGGTTAAGCGTCCGGCTTCAGCCAGGTCACGATCTCGCGGTCCGTGAGTTCGAGCCCCGCGTCAGGCTCTGGGCTGATGGCTCGGAGCCTGGAGCCTGTTTCCGATTCTATGTCTCCCTCTCTCTGCCCCTCCCCCATTCATGCTCTGTCTCTCTCTGTCCCAAAAATAAATAAACGTTGAAAAAAAAAATTAAAAAAAAAAAAAAAAAGAATCAAAGAAATAGGTAATTTTCCTATTTTCCGAGCCATTTGGGCTAGAAAAGAATACGCATTAGCTTAGGGTTTGTAAAAGCGGGCCACTCTCCTCCCACAGTATGACCACTCTGAGACTAGGCAGCTCGCAGCTCCTCACTGGCTGCCCCCATGACTGTCTGTCCTATATTCCCAGTTCTAAATAGGGCTTCCAGAAATAGTGCTGTCTGTGCCCTGAGACCTGGGCAAAAAGTTGGTGCTCTCACATGCGAGGAGCCGACCACTAGGGCTTTGGCGCCGTTAAGATGTTCTAGATACAATCGAAGTAGATTTAAGAAGTTTGGAAGCCGCAGGAGACCTCAAGGATTTCCAAAGCAACCGTGAGTCGGCTTCGGCTTCATCAACTGAATGCCACACGTGCAAAATCCAGAAAGCTCTCAAACACTTGCCTTCCAAGAAGTTTAGGGTGGCTGTGGCTGCTTTTTCTCCCTTTCCAGCTACAAATTTTAGGACTGAGAGAAGTGAGGCAGGTGTCCACAACAGAAGGGACACAATGGGCAGAGATCTACGAAGGCCTTGGCTGAGATCCGGGGCTGAGGAGCTGGACCACACAACCGTGGGGGCGAGAGCTTACTTACCTTGTGAGACGCTCCCTTGTGCTGGGCCACACGCTTCGTGTTCTTGCAACACTGTGTGGCAGACAGCTCTGCTACCCGCACCTGCCCATCACGGGCACACATGGCCAGGGTGGAGTCACCGCTGTTAGGAAGGAACTTGGCCTGGAACGTTAATGACAAAAAGGGATACACAAAAGAAATTGAGGAGGTGAATCTGAGAGGGAAAAACGGGATAACGGCCCCACCCCATCCCTTCTGTTGGGCAACGGCTGGAAACTTGGCTCTCCTAGCCTTATACCCTTGGCTCAAATCCCGTTTCTTCCAAGAGTTAAAGAAGAGGGAGGAAAACCTTCTGATAGAAGACGGCATTGCAGGTGACTCTGGAAGGCTGAACTGGCGCAGGATTAGTGCTCAGGTGAACTAGGGCTACGCCTACGAGGGGAGAACCGTAAGGAAAAGAGGAGGAAAGTCTATCTTGATTCAGGAAGCAAAGGGAAACTTGTTACAAAGGCAACCAGTGCCTTCTCTCCGCAGAAGAGCTCCCACCCAGGAATCAATGCTAGTTGCAGTATGATGGAGGGGCTGATGAGTAAACGAGAAGGACAATACTAACAGATATTCATCAAACGTTTATTAAGTACAAGACAGGATTCTAGACTGCTCAGCTTCCGTATTAATCCTCACGATCCTGTTACTAGCTCCACGTTACAGATACACAAACTGAAGCCAGAGATTACAGAATTTGCCCAAGATCACAAAGCTAGCGAGGGGGCAGGGCCAGGATGGGAACCCCGTCTGGCTCAAGAGCCTCTGCTCTTAGATGGATGCCTTCTATCAGGGTCCCCTGAGTACCTTCCTGATGACTTCCAAGCACCCGACCTATAACGAGGCTTCTGACCGCCACCAGGCTTGGGAAGAACGAAAGGCGGTCATGGCTCTTTCAGCGTATTTAACTCCTCTAAGTGATCAAGGGAGCCACGACACGACTGGGCCCTGAGGCCAGTCCAGACTCACTGTCTGCTCCCGCTCCAAGCACCTCAGGCTTGTCTAACTCCTGCCTGACTTTCCCAGTGGCCGTCCTGCCCCCTTGCCTCACCTGGAAGACATTGCTTTTGTGGCCGCTCTCAAAGTCCAGCACTGGCTGCCGCCGCACCCAGTCCCAAACCACCACTTTCAGGTCATCGCTGCCACTGGCCAGCCAGGTGCCGCGCTGGTTAAAGTGCAGGGTGTTGACACAACCAGTATGGCCCTCGAGCCCATGCTGCAGGCGGAAACGCTGCACAAAGACTCTTGCTCCGCAAGCCTCATAGACAAAGCGGGCGCTAGAACCCAGCTCCCGCTCCCGAAGGGCAGGAAGGGCTTGCCACCGAGGTCGAGGCAGGGCGGATGTCTCCGAAGACACCCAGTCCTCCAGGGCCCGCTCATCATCTGATGAGTCCTGGTCACGGTTGGCCCGCTTCCGCTGGACACGGCGCCGAGGGTGCGCTTCCTCCTCCTCCTCCTCTTCTTCCTCTTCTTCCTCTGAGCGGTCATGGACTTGGTTTTCGTCGTTGATGGAGTAATGGCCAGTGTCTTCCATGCTGTCAGAGTCCTTATCTTCACCTGAGCTCTCCGTATCTGTACCCCGGCTTCCTGTGCTGGCACGGTTGGGGCCACCATCATCCCCAGTCAAGCTCAAGCTCAGGTCTGAGGCTTCCACTTCAATGCCTGAGGATGTCTCCCTCCCCTCCTCAGCGCCAGACATCTCCTCTGGACTGCTAGACAGGCTTCCTGCATGGTAGTGAGGAATGGGCGGGCGAGGGGGAAAACAAGGAAACGGGAGAGTGATCAGAAGGATGTTTCCTCCTCGGTCCAAGAAATCATCACGCCTAAAGATCCAGAAACCAACTCTGGTCAACGTGCTTTTGTTCAAGTGCTTACCATAAAGACTACCTTCTGAGGGGGGAGTCTCGTACAGGACAAGAAACTGGAAAGATTAAGATCAAAGCCACATGCAAACAAAGGTGCTTCAACCCAAGTGAAGAACCACAGGGCAGCCCAAGAGTCTGATAACTCCCCCCCCCCGCCACCGCCTCCCTCTAGCAAAGCACAGCCAGGTTGAGTCCAAGTACATCCGATACAACTACCTTAAGCTCTGTTCTGCTGGACACACGTCTATTAAGCACAGCAAACAATTAAGTCAAATAGGAAAAAAAAAAAGAACAGCCATTCCCAGCAACAGCTGGCACCTCCATCTTCTTAAAGGAAGGCAGAAAATAACAGATTAAAATCATTCTGACAGTGGGGGTAGAGAAGAACGATTTCCTACTTCAAGGAAGTACCACCACCTCCCACCTCCTAAATCCCAGTTTCTTCCCTTGAGGTCTTAAAGTCCACTAAGAATCCAGAAGGAGGTAGAAGGGACATGCGGTAACTGTGGTCCTGGGTTCCTGGTTCGCTGTTCGCTAATAAATGTGTTCTAATAACTTCCATTAATTTAATAACGTTAACACTACATCTAGTTATTGGAACTCTACCCTGAGGTAGAGTTTTACCAGGAAGCACATGCAAAACTGATGACAAGCAACGCTACCAGAGTGGCACCCGGGAAGGGAAGTTCACCACGTTTTTCAGTCTGCCATGTTGGTGGCCGTAAAAGAACTGGGCCACTTGGAGCAATCTAACCCCTGACAACGAGACACTGCATTCTCCCAACGACAGCCAGATCTTATTTCAGCGAGCACTCTGGCAATGTGCTAGAGCCAATACGGCCACAGCTTCCACACTGAAGCCGAGGTGTGAAGAAAGGAAGGAGGGAATGAGGATTTTGAACACTGTTCACGGCCTCCTTTCCTGATGACGCCAAATTTTACCTTACCAGAAGTAAAGGCTGTTAGGAAAAGCAGACCAGCGATGGGCGACTCTGGTATGAGCTATCCAACCCCACAATGACGTTTAAAGGGTTCAAAGCAGTGCCTGACCGCTTAGTCACCTGGAGCAGAGCGGCAATTTCTAAAAATCTTTGCGGCAATGGAACCCCTTCACAACGAACTCTGAGGCAAAACCCAACACAGAAAACAGATGAACAATACAAGCACTTTGGTTCAAGCAGTGACAGAAGGCTGGGAGACACATAAACAGCTCTTTTCAAAAAAGCACCCCAACTAAGATCCCAGCATGAAAACAAGTGGTGCAGGAACTGGAAGAAAAAGGGGAAAAGTGCAGCAATTTTCTCCTAGGAACTACATTTGCTGAGACTGCTGTGGATGCTGAGAAAGATTAGTAGTTGTGGTTTCTGACACACAATTGGCTTTGAAACTGGGAGTGGTGAGAAAGGACGAAATACCACACTTTCGCTTCTACGCAGAAGGAAAATGTAAACACCGAAAATCCTAGCATTTACTGTTAAAATTATGATTAACAAATCAAGATGACTTGGGGGCTCTACCAGATTAAGTTAAGGGCCAGAGCAAATCGCGAGCTCAGCAAGATGACCCTAACAGTCGATGACCAAGATCTAGCCCAGAGGCTGGCAAATTTTTTCTACAAAGGGCCCTGTGGCAAGTACGCGATGCCGCTGTTATGGCACAAAAGGACCCGTAAGCACCATGTGAATGAATGGGACGTGACCGTGTTCCAACACACTTTACAAAAACAGTGGCAGGCTGGATCTGGTCTGCTGGCCATAGCCCGCTAATCCCCGATCTGGCTAACAGCCAAATCCAAACCACTCTAGAACCCTGAACTTTTCAATTAAGCCCAGCAAAAAATCTGAACCACTGTCTTTTACAGAAAGAAGATGAATGAAGAGCAATGATAAGAAGGGAACAAAGGAGCAATACACAGCATTTTTTATTTTATTTTATTTTTTTTAATTTTTTTTTTTTTAACG